GGGGAGGGACAGCTTTTACGTTGAAGTTAGTGTTCTGACAGGGAAATCACGGTGTGTGTTGTTGATGATTACTGGATGCATGTGTTCTCTGTTTCTGCATTTTGTGATACTTCTAATTAGATGAATATGGATCTCAAATAAATTGAGTTGCATTTCGACCTCTGTTCTATAAACTCATATTGCTTAAATTTCTTGGGGATGGGTGGGGAGAGAGTAGCATTTAAGATGTGAGAGTATTCAGATAGACTAATCAAAGTGTTTCGATGATGATCATCAAAGAGACGTGCATTCCATGTCTGTATTTTCTGATACTTGTTACATGCACGTGTATCTCAAATAAATTGAATTGCATTTCTGTCTCACTTGGTGGAACTTACCTCCACCAGCACTATATAAAAAATATAAATGAGAAGGAGTTCAACCTTGTTTTCTATCCTTCATTGTTCCAACTGTGACTTCTGATTTTGAATTCTCTACAGGTTATTGGGAGCATGCACTCTGTCCAGGATGCTTTGTTCCAAATTACTTGTAGGCTTCGTGATACAATGTTTCCCATGAAGCCACATATTTCAAATATTGCCCCTTCGCATTTTCCCTCCTATTCTGAAATTCCATCCCCATCATTCAGGCCAAGGCACGGTCCTGCTTCTCCTAGTTACCGCTCACCTGCTGGCTACCCTCATGGTATGGAACCTGGTATTCAGATCACCTGGTATTTTATCCAAACCCTATGAACTGCTGGCTCACATTATTTAGACCGTAATGTTTATTCAGATCGTGCTCCCCATTTCCATGGCTATGAAAGACAAGGACATGTTCCATTTTTTGATAGACCTCCTTCACCTGGAAGATGGGGTCCTCAGGTTTGTGGGAGCTCTTTCCAGTAAATGTAAATTATTGACACATTTTTTATGATTGGGAATGTTGCATTCCCGACTATTCACGTTCCTTCTTGCTGTTTTATCCAGGCAGTCAGTTCTAGATATACAGCTGGAGTGGCTGATTTAAGTGGAGGCTTTGCCTTGAAGAATGGGCACAATGGCAGGTAACTTGTTTTCCTCTGTCTGCAACAATGTCTTAGGTTGCTTATGAAATTGTGATCACTGCTAATAACTTGAAGCGATCCATTGAATCTCCCAGGGGAGTGCTGGGTTGGATGCACTAAAGGGGCTACTGGTTTCCCTGTTAGTGCAGGACTCACCGGTTTCTGATTCACTTGGGGTAAAATTGTTTCCTTTTGGGGATACTAGTTTGGTTTTCCTTGTGCAACTTTAAGTGGAGAGCTGTGGGCAATTAGTTGGTAGCGGCTTGATTAATTTTGTTGCAGGCTACAGTATAGGAATTTAAAAGCTATATAGAAGCATGAACTCAATTCACTGTTAATCCATTTTGTCAGGGAAGTTATGTCTTTGCATGCACAACATAGACAAGCCATGTAAAAGAACATGCTTCTTTATGGAAGTACGAAAAGAGGCTATCTTAAAAAATATAGGGTAGAGGATATGCTATTGTAGTCTTCAAATTTCTCTTAACCTGGGGTTTGGCGGCTGGACGATTACAGAAAATTGGTCAAACATGAGTATGCAGCTCCGCCTTATGAGCTGGATGAGGGCAGATTTGTTAAGTCGTTCAGCTTCCTGTAATTTGCATTTGTCTATAAAATGTAAAGTTCTTATAAACAGGAATGCTAGATAGAGACGTAGATTACATGATGAGATAGAATTTCCTTTACTGAGGTATGAACCCCTTCTCTCTTGTAAGAATAGTATCCACATAAACTTCAAATGCAAGTCAATGGAATCCCTGCAGAGCTCACGGGTCACCTGCTTTAAAATTTGAGTTGTAAAGTTTGTGTTGGAGATATTGAGGTCTTTAATTAAATGTTAAACTTGACTGTAGTATAAAGATAAGTCTGTTGGAGATACTTGAGGTGTTCAATTCATTGTTAATGAATGAAAGAGAAAGGGGTGTAGAATCTGAACATTTGACTTGGAAGTTCATAGATCTATTTATTTTTCTTGGTTGATTTCGATTGTTGTTTAATTTGCTATTTGTCGTATCCTTTTCATATCTTGCCATCGGTTTGCATATCCACTATATTAAACTCTTTTTGCAGTGAGACGGCAACACCTAATTTGCCAGGCATTGTTATTGAAGTTGTAATTCCTCAGATTTTGTTAAAACATGTTTATGGAGAGGATTCTCGCAACCTTAGTGATATAACAAGGGTAGGTCAGTTTCCTTGTGGAAGCTTTGTTTCTCTTCTTAGATAAGGTAGTTAACATTTGTGTTTGGGGTTCAGATTTCAGGTGCTAAGATAATAGTTCATGATCCTGTAGCCAGTTCTACAGAAGGCACTGTTGTTGTGTCGGGGACACCAGATCAAGCACGAGCTGCTCAGAGCCTTATTCATGCCTTCATCTTATCTGAACAGAATATGTAGATTTTCCTTCTTTATTCATGTTCCTAGAGGTAACCTATGTGGTGGTTTCTTTTTTGTTTTTGTTTTTTATTTCTTAGGAGCAATATCAAGTTCTTAACTCACATTTCCTTTTTCAATTCAGTTGACACATATTTGTGATAGTAAAATAAGTGTAAATAATTGTCAGAACCTGTGGGAAAGACATAAGGTATGTGAGAATTATCACTCGAGGGGCTAAAGGGAAAAAGCCTTAATGAAGTGGAAAGAAAGAGAATATAAAAAGAGACTCGTTGGGGGGGGGGGGGGGTTAGGCTGTCTTTTCCATCACATTTGGATATTGGAGTATTTTGCAGGCAAAACCTGTGCAAGTCTGCATAGAAAACGACAAGCACATGAATTTATCAGTTCATATGATTCTTGTAGTATGTGGAGCATTCTGATGTGGGTCTATAAGAAACACAAGACGTAGATGTACCCTTCTAAATCCTTGTGATTTCCTTTGGCTATACATGTTGCTAATAATCAGTTGAGTGTTGAATTGCTTGGACACTATCATGTGCATGAAAATCATAGAATTATATATTGTTTATTAGTCTTAGAGTAGTAATTTATTGAAAGGTTCAGTTTCTTTAATGTGACCAAAAATAGATTTGTGTCTCTACTGTTGTAATGGATATAGCCCGGTTATGTTAATGTGACAAAAAATAGATTTGTGACTTTACTGGCAAAAGCATAATGACAATACATGAAATCAACCCCTGTAACATGTTGAGTGGTCTCGCTGGAGGAACTTTAGGTCACACAATGCATATCACCTACTTGCTGCAGCATTTAAAGAAGGATGTGTAAATAAAGTTTCCTTTATAGAAAAGGATATAAAGTTTCACATATAATAAAGAGACGTGTTTTCTGTTTTTTACTACAAAGGCGATTAGGCAAATATGTTCGCTTTGGAAAAGAGATATGTTGATAGCAATAAATATGATAATTTCAGCGAGCTCCAAGGATGAAAGCTACCTTCTAGAAATAAATTGAACGCGGGAGATTATAAAGAAGAAATAATTTACTTGTTTTTATATACACACACACACATACATACCCTTTGTGATGGTTGAATCTTATTTTATTCTCCAATTCTGGATTAATACAATGTAATCGTATTTAATTTAGTCACAAATGACCTAGAGTCCCAATATTGCGTTCTTTTTATAGTGTTTAATGTCCTTGTTTCTACCGCAGGTTTGACAAGAAGATGCCAACTACAGCCTTTGCTATAGTATATGAGGTGGCGAAATCAATTTGTAATTCGTCTAAAGTGACCAAGTTTAAATGAATTGCGTAATGACCTGTTTGTCACTTGACTCAATGAGTCAAAGTTCGAAATGATCCATTAACATATCGAGCGACGTTCCACAGCGCACAATAATTACAAAGGTACCATTCATCTAGCCTCAGTGAATAAAAAGTTACACGGAAACAAAAAGAGATAAGTGAGAGAGAGAGGGTACAAAAATTTCTTCCCAAACAAGTATTGTCCATAATTTTGCTCTCTTTTTCTTTTCACCCAAACAAAAGATAGTATACCCTCCGTCTCATTTTATATCACATTATTTTATTAGTTATAGAGTTTAAAATATTAATATGAAATATGAAGTATAAATTGATGCTATTTAAGATTAATTGAAAATTTAGTCTGATAGATAAAATATCAAAATTTAAATTTAAGATCACTGAAATTATGTAGAAATGAATGAAATTAAATATTTTAAAATTTTATTTTTAAATAAAAAGAGCGTGATATATATAATTGTGACAGATAGCAACTTTTCTCCCGCGTTCTCTTTTTGTAGAGTATCTTTTTTCCTTCCTTTGGTACGATCATGATTCATCGTATAAAAACAGTAATCCTAGGAATAGACCCACCAAAGAGAAAATGTTCACTTATGCCACAAGTCTTCCTCTGTTTTTATTATTTTCAAGATGGTGACACATGCACAAATGTTTAAGAAAGTCAAAAACCGGTCCACATTCATATACTATCAATTTTCCTTTTTGCCTTTTTAATTTAGGAAAAGGTCCAAATTTACTTATCTATTATCCAAAATTGCTCAATGTCGCCATCCATTAGATATTTTCTCCATTCATATTCCTGCCATTAACAAATAGTTTTGTATTTATCCTTTATATTAACGGAGCTTCATCATGAAATTAGCGTGTCCAAAATTTTCAAGAAAAATATTTATAATTCCCCTTTTATTTTGAGTGTGTACAATTACCTTCGAAGTGGAGATTTGTTAAGGGTTAAGGACAAAAATAAGACTTTTTTCTACCAACCAAAGTAAGATTAGACCCAAAGTTTAACCGAGAGTAAAGTTGCTCAATTTCCAAATCGTTAAATGAGGTGAATTTTTCCCTTTCCCCTTTTAATTTCCTACCAGCATTAGACTCGGTCCTAGTTGCTTCCATCTCGCCCAACTAGGAATATTTTTTGCTTTTCCACATATTTTTATGGCAAAGAATTGCTCATAGAAAAATTCACACTTTAGAAAAGGCAAACTTGGTGGTTTCTTGGCTTGTAAAGGATGAACAATTTTGGAGAAAAAAAGGCACCCCAAGAAGAGTGAAGCAAAGGCAATTAGAAGAAAATATTAAAAAGCAAGTGTACTATATTAATATGTGAGCACATTCTCTTTAAAGTGATCTACGTTTTGGGTGGTTGTGGATTTACTATTACACATACATGTATTCTTGTTTTGGCAGTGAAGTTTGGTTTGAAATTGGTTTAACCTCATTTGTTGAGTTTGGTAAAGAAAAAATAAGCCTTATGCATGTAATCACTATATGGTAAACAATACAGTATAACAATCATTTTCCATCTTAATTATTTCATTAAATGTGTTGAGAGAATTTCTTTTCTCAAGAAAGAAAAGAAAAGATCAAAAAAATGCATGGGATTGAGAAGATCAAAGCTGCAAGAGAAATTCTGAAGTTTAACATAGAGAAATCAAGAGAATTAGGAGTAGAAATTGGTGATAGTGGCTGCAGATTGGAGAGTTGTGGGCAGAGGCTGAATTTCTTAGCAGATGCCCTTAGAACTATAGCATGTAAATGTACATTATACAAGATGATTGGTCGTGATATTGATCGCGCTATTGGTCCTGCTGCATCTGTTGTTAAGATATTTGATGTCATTTGTGGACTTGAAAAAACTCTTTCCACTGGCCCTTCTGATGATATCTCAGCTTATCTCACTACACTCAAATGGATGGAAGAAGCACTCGGCCTTCTCACCGATAACTGCAAATTAGTCATTTCTTGGCTTGAAAACAGCAACTGCAATTCTTCATCAGTTGCTGAAAGTTGGTATGTTATGAATGTGAACAAGTGTTTGAATATACTTAGGCAACTCCAGGCTACAGAGGAACGTTCTCGTGCCAAAGGTGGAGCATTGATGGTCGCACTAGACAAGCTGGAAAGTGAATTGGCATCCTCGTTAACGGATATAGCCCCACTCTCTTTGCCTTTACCTAATATCATTCAAAATGTGCAAGCCATTATTGATAGATTGGACGCGAACCATAGATTTGACAAATGTATGTCTATTTATATTGAGGTTCGGAGTTCAAATGTGAGAAAAACTTTAGAAGAGCTGGATTTGGACTATCTGGAGGAGATATCATTGACAGAGTTTGACAGTGTTTTGAGTGTGGAGTCTCACATTGACCAATGGCGCGAGCACTTGGAATTCGCAGTGAAGGATTTGTTAGACATAGAACACAGGCTTTGCAATGAAATATTCCAGAAATCGGCATCTAAAGATAGTAGCTGTACGGACTGCTTCGCGAAAATTGCAGTCCAATCTGGGATTCATTCTTTCATCAAATTTGGCAACACAATTACCAGAGGGAAGAAAGAAGCAGTTAAGCTGTTGAAGTTATTGGACATGTTTGCTGCTCTAAACAAAGTACGCTCCGATTTCAACAGACTTTTCAGTGGAAAAGCGTGTGGTGAAATCCAGAGCCAAACAAGGGATCTGATCAAGAAAGTTGTGAATGGTGCTTGTGAAATTTTCTGGCAACTTTCTCTCCAAGTGGAACTGCAGAGGACAATTAGTCCTCCGGCGAATGGTAGTGTTCCGAGGCTGGTTAACTTTGTCACGGAGTATTGTAATCAGCTTCTTGAGGATGAATATTGGTCCACACTTATCCAAGTTGTGGAGATACATCAAAGTTGGAACCACGAGAGCTTGGATAAGAGGCTTCTTCTAAATGAGATGCGAAAAATAATAATGGTAATTGAGCTCAATATAGAGAGTTGGGAAAAGACATACGAAGACGATTCTCTCTCCAATCTCTTCTTGATGAATAACCATTGGTACTTGTGCAAGTACACGAAAGGAACAAAACTTGGCGAGCTAATGGGACACGAATGGATTAGAGGTCACGAGGAAAACATGGAGTATTACGAGACACTATATTTGAAAGAGAGCTGGGGAAAACTCCCGGACCTTGTGAGCGAGGAAGGTCTAGTGTTGTTCCCTGGAGGGAGAGCCATTGATCGACAAGTGGTTAAGAAGAGATTCAAGGAATTCACTAAGGCTTTCGACGAAATTTACAAGAGGCATTCCCATTGGGAATTGTGTGATAAGGGGTTAAGATGGCGAGTACGCCAACTCGTTTTGCAGGTTGTTGTCCCTTCTTACAGTAGCTACTTGGCAAAATACATGCCCTCTATGGAACTTGAAGTTGCTAGTACTGGTGATCAGCACATAAAATACACAGCTGAGACCTTGGGAAATATGATCAGTAGTCTATTTGAACCAAAAGTTGGAAAGTATGGCAATACTACAAAATGCACAGAATTGAATGGCAAGATTAATAATAGCATTGTTGCTAATCACCTTTCTTCCACACCAGCAGCAGCATGAAGTATGAAGCTTGTCAACTACTAATACAAGAAAGGTGATGATCAGTTCGTCGTACAGAAACTGATTAGTTTTCCAACCTTAATCCTGAACTACTAGGTTGTAAAGTGTTGTACATAGTTTATGCATACACCTCATGATCTTTGATTATACTTCTCTGGCAAAATGCTAAACAAGCTACATCCAAGAATATCTTTCATTAGTCGTGGTATGTAATGTAAATAAGATGCTAAATCCTAATACTATGTTTTAGCAGCTCAATTACATGTGTGTCTTCTGTCTTACACAAACGCTTGTGATTCATATATTTTCATTTATAGACTTTAGCCTAATGGGACGATAAAGAACCGCCCGGTGCACTAAACTCCCGCTATGCGCGGGGTCGGGAGAAGGGCCGGACCACAGGGGTCTATTGTGACGATGTTTGATACAATAACCCGAAGAATCGTTTCTTTACTTTCTTTACAATTGCTAAGCCTGGGGTAAGAGAATTTGGAGGTTTGAGGGGGGTAAGAGAATTTGGAGGTTTGAAGTGTCATCTTAGAACCAGTAGGTAGAGAGGTACCAGGGGATAGTCTTAACAGTAGAAAGTAAGGTGCCCCTTGTACAGTTGGTTTGTTAGTTTCAACCACCTAGACACAGACTACCCTCTAGGCCCTTACCCAGAATAATAGTTTCTTCTTTAATATAAAAGGTCCGCAAGGGTTGACTGAGTTGGTTGGGTAAGTGGTTTTCCACATGGGAGACCTGGGATTGATTCTCCTCACCAGCAGTCTCCTCAGTCAGGGCTCGTTGCACCGGGCTTGCCTTGTGCGGTTTACATCTCATGTGTAGTTTGCGAGCTATTGCACAGGTTACCCAATGCGCACCCAAAGAATAGTTGATGCAGGTTTCCCTGAGAATTTTTCAAAAAAAAAAGTAAATTTAAGAGTAACCCCCCATTTTGCTCTGATGCTTCAAAGATGTTGCCGCACTCATGTCAGATTTAGAGTAGCAACATATGTTGTTCAGATGATCCTTCAAAGCAAGCCGTATCCCGAACACCCGTCGATGAAGTTGAGTAGTAACATTAGACCATGAATTTTCAATTAACTAATATAAAAAAAATCAAGTTATATTAACAGGACAATGGTTGGTCATTTAACTTAATCAGATAGAAATTGAGCTTTGACTAAGTGTGTTCAAAAATATTGTCCCAAAATAATAGTCGCTTTAGGCATTCAAAATTAAATTTGTTAATTATTTTCAACTATACACTTAATATTAAAGTAGTAGTTCCTTTTATAACTGCTCAATTCTCAAAAAGTTTTTAACAAGAGTAATTTAATAAATTATACGTCGCCATTTATTGTTTTCTTGATGAACGTGAAAAGTACTAGATAGTAGTTAAAATGGGACAAAGTGAGTAAAAGTTTCCAATTTATTCCAAAAACTCTTATCTTCCACCATTACTCCACCAACTAGGAATTCTGGTTGTTGAATAGCCCAATAATTGAACTTTCATAGATGTAGAACTGAGTGCTCATAAAAGTGGAAGTGGCCGTTGAAACATTTAACCACCGAGATTTAAGTCTTCTTCTACCATAGGAAGCTAGTATGAACAAAGCTCATTAATCCCTCCGTTTCAAATTATCTATCATGTTTCTCTTTTACACGTTCTTTAAAAAAATATTAAATAAGAGAGGTTTTTGACTGTATTACTCTTATCTATGTCTTAAGATTTAACCTCTCTTTATTTAATATTTTCGCATAATTGAGGTATTTGTAGTCTTTAAGAACAATTAATATTAAGGGTAAAATAAGAAAAAAATAATTAATTTAATTTTAAACTTCTAAAATGACAATTAATTTGAGACAACTATTTTTAAAAACCACGATAGATAATTCGAGATGGAGGAAGTACTACTATCTTAGAACGGTCTACCACATAACCAAACAATCATTGATTCATCATTTTTCTTGTACTTGTCAACTTCAGTGTGGAACCGAGCCTTCTTTATTATTTTTACTTTTACTTTTCAATTTAAACAAATCAAGAGAAGATATTTTCTGGTTTTACCCTTATTATTAATATATCTTATTTTACAAATTATTTCTCAAGACTTTTAAAAATACTATCATTGTCATGGATACTATAGTAAAACATGCACTTCATCTACTATTTCTTAAGGAGCGTGCAAAGTTCATTGTAGATAAGTAAAAGTCAATGGAGGGAGTATATATATTCTATAGACATTCAATCAATTAAAGACTAGGTACTAGTGTTATGAATTTATATTCCCCATTAACTTAATTTCCTTGACACAAAACTATGTATTCTAGTAATATAACTTAACTCATAAAGGATGGGTAGATATACGTATTTCCCCCATGATTGTTAAATCGTATTCATTCTAAACGTAAAGTGATAAAACTGTCTTTAGTCATATTTGTTTGACTCAAAATTTAGACTCGGGTTCAACCAATTAAATTTAAGTAAAATAGAGTCAATCTTCGTTAATATTAATATCCGAAAGACAAGATTATCGATTTTGTGGCAGATAGTATATATATTTAACCGAATGTCAATAGATGTGAGCAACACTAACAATATTCAATGATCCACAAAGGTGGAAGATAGCATTAAAAAGTAAAAAATAGCAATGAATGACATTTAAGTAAATAAGAACGTGTGAGTCACTCGAAAAAAGGTGGGATCTGTAGATATTCTTTCTGACAATGATGAATGATTGATGAGTCTTTGAACATTCAGGTTGTTCTTGGATCAAGTGGAAAGGTTAGACAAGAATTTTAGTAAAAAGATTGTTTTTGTATACTTGCAATATGGCCAGATTCCTTCTATAAAGTCAATGTGTTTTCTTACAAGTAAATATCTTATGTCCCCTATCATTATGTCTCTTTCAATTTATGAGGAACATATTCCTAAAAGCCCTAACAGTACATGTACAGAGAATATCCACTAAAATATTCTCTTTTGCGTCCTATCCTAAAACTAGCCGTTATGACTCTATCTAAGATGCTCGACCTCGATCTTCATCTACGATGACTTTTCGACCTTGATCTTTGCTGACTCTTCGACCACACCCTTCATCGCTTCAGGGACCACTTCGACCTTGGGCAAGTCTTTGTTGAAGTCGTATTGATGACATGTGGTAGTCTATGAGTACCTCCTTAATGTTAACATGGTTTGATCATATCAAAGATAATTTTTGACCCATATAGTTAGTCCCTCCATTTATTGAGGTCGTCCTCGCAGGTGAGCTTAATGAGCGGATAATGTCATTTTCGGTCGAACTTATCGAGTAAGCTGCAAGAGTCATACACGTCGTCTCGAACAGACAATGTGGCCCTCTATGGGCTGCATATTTCAAATATCTCAAGTTTTCCAAGCGATTTGTTGGAGTTATCCTGCCCAAGGTTAGAGTGACGTCATGACATCATGCATTATTATGACACATATTCCCGATATATTGCTTCGATTCATGTGTGACCCTTGATTGGATCCGCCGTTTCGATTCTGGTGCCAATTATGACAAGCTATTTTTGGGTTTAGTTCCATGATCTCTATAAATAGAGGTTCTTGAACTTGAATTTAAAGTTTGTTTCTTCTAATTTTTCAGAGCACCAACCTTCTTCTCTGCATTTTTCTTCTTTGAACTTCCTTTCCTTGTTTTGTTGCCCTAAATCATCCCCATTCTCTCCCGTTTGTTATTCTTCTTTATCACTTTGCATCATGTGCAACTTACCCTCAGATGCTAGTGAAGGGAGCCGCGTTGCTCCCTTGGCAGTTGTGTTTCCTTCCCATGTGGATGGTGTTTCTGTCATTGTTGAGGATGGAGCATTCCTGTCAGTGGAGGAAATAATCCCTGCAATCCCGATGTTAGGTCTAATCTTACCCGATCATCGGAGCTGCACCCGGGATTTTCGTATCGATGATGACGTCTAAAGAATTGGCAGAACTCAAGGCCAAGTTCGGTCTTCCAAATCACGTCGAACTGATCCCGGTTGGTGGAGACATGGTACAGGTTCATCGCCCCGGATACTATGCTCTATACGCCTATATCTTTCTTGTCAGCTATCCTTTCCCCCTCCTTCCATTGGTGGAGGAAATTCTGCCGTCACTACGACATCTGTCCTACTCAGCTTGCGCCATACTTCTACAAGATTATTAAAATATTGACCAAATTTGCCGAGCTGGCCGAGGTCGAACCAACTCTGCAGCATACATCTCTTCGCCCATAGCTTCTATAGGGTAACGATGTTGAATCTTCACTATCGCAAAGACAAATGCTTGGTGGTGAAGATGGACGATAAGGACAATAGCCAGTTCTGGCTCAGTTTCTTTTACGTCAGGATCGAGGACGTGGTGGCTAACGCCAATGGCTCTCCTGAGGCTTGGAATTATACACGTAAGTGTTTGATTTTTATTTGCACTCATTTACTTGCTTCAAAATTAGTTGAAGGACTTTCCTTTTCATGTAGCCAATAATCAACCTCCCCTTCTAGTCACGCGCATTTTTGACTGGGTCGAGCAAATCCTCCCCCACATCGTAGGAATCTGTGATTGGCCGAGCTTTATCAAGAAGTTCAAACCGGTTCTTCCTTAGATAGGTAACTTCTTCTGTTTGGCTGTGGTCGTTTCATTTTCTGTTGTATGCCGATTCGTTTTACTAATTTCAACGCTTGTATTTTTTCCAAGCAGGGGGTCTTCTCGAAAGAGCCGCGCACCGGTGCCATCCTTTCGGAGGAAGGCTACTGCACCTTCGGCTTCTGCCCCTATTGCGACAATTACCCCTTTTGTACTGACCCCTCCCTCAGCTACCGTAGTCCAATAACCTACCTTCGTTCTATCCGCTACTTCCGCTCCTCAACTCTTTTCACTGATTGATGAGGACATCGATATCTCTCTTGAAGATGGTGGTTTACTGCCCCATAAGAGGAGAGCCATAGATGCGAGAGGAGAAAGGCCAATAGCCATCGACTTGGAGGAGGGAGACTTCGCT